ATAGCTTGTAATTTTATTTAAATGTTAAACAAAAAATAAAAATAAATTATTTAATGAGTTAGCTTTCGTAGCTTATTGCTTTTAGATTAACATTTAATTGAACTTATTAATTATTAAATTGAAATTTTAATGTTAATCAATTGTTTTTTAGGCATAAATTATTTAATGTAAAAATAAGACTCAAATTTAATTAAAGAAGTCATTTCAAAATATTAAAGATTCAATTACATTGCAAATACTAATTCTCATAGTTGTATGATCATTCTTACATTACATTACACAATAACTTTATTTAGTAAATTTCTAAACATTTATTTTTATTCTTAAATCACTGAACATTTACTAACTAATTATTTACTTTTCTATTAGTTTACTATTAATTAATTTAATAATATCAAATAAAAATATGTATTTCAACTTTCTTTTAAATAATAATATTATAATTAATCTTGTATTATCAGTTACATCAAATAAATAATTTTTATTTATCCTACTATATTTTTTTAATTTTCTATATTACTGTTTGTATCATGCTTGTATCACTTACCTGTAGATACTGGATGAAAATTTATTGGCTAGTTTATTATAAAAAATATTATAGAAATACTGCTAATAAAATTACTTAATCTAAAAAAAATAAATTCATTTAATGTAACTATTTTTGCTAAAATCTTTAATAACAAATAACTTTATTATTTATTTAATAAGTTTATTTTATTAATAAAAATAATATAAATACTAATTATAAAGGTTTATTATTAATTATAGATTACATATAATTTAGTATATCTTATGATTTAATTTGTTAAATACATTTATAATATATATATTATAGGTTATAATTTACTATTTATAAATAGTTTAAGATAAATAAAAGCAATTATTATTTTGAATGATAAATATAAGAGTTAAAAGATATTTAAAACTTAATTTTTTTAGATCACAATTTATATAAATACTTAAATAATTTTATTTAAATATAAAGAAAATTTATATCCTTCAATTAATAATTGAATTCTTTTTCAATTAAAAAAATCATTACCGTAAATATAAAGATAACCTAATAATAAATTTTCTGATAACTTATTTAATCACGTGAATTTACAATTCTCGGAAGATCATTTACGTGTCAATATTTAATATCTTTAAATCTTGCGAAAGATAATGTTTCATAATATCGCGTCCAATGGTGAAGCATAATAATGTCACGAAGAAAATACTCAGAGAATACAGTAGATATTTTAAAAATCCTTGATGCACAAAAAAGTGATCATCAATATTAAAGAATAATAATTTATTTCGGTATCAATGAGTGATGATACTACTATAGGTCAATTGTTTCATGAAGATGTAATTAAATACCAAGGTGATTCAAATTAAGAAGATCCTTATTTTTAGTTAGAATTATAGTATTATACATATACAGTAAGGCTTCTTTTAGATTAATTTCAAAAAAAAAATAATATTTAATAAAAACACTGTATACTTAATATTCAAAAATGGGAAAACAATAATTTACACTTTTAACTAATTTACGGTACCTTTTAAAGATTACAAGGGGAGAAAAAAAATCTCTATCTACTTAATAAACAGCAATTTTTAATAATCTTTCCTATATAATTGATTTTCTTCTCAAATGTTCATTGGTTATTTGGGTGAAAAGAAAAAAATAAACAATAATAATTTATTTAAGCAAAATAAGGCCGAACTAACCTAATACACGATTTAATTCTTCTACAGGTGTGTTAAGTATAGATGAAGATACATCAGAGAAAAATTCATTATCTTGTAATAATTCATTTTCTGAAAATAATTCTCGGTTGTATGAAGTGATATTATTAATTGGAGAATATGATGATAAATTAAGTGAATGTAAAGAATGTATATCGGTCGGTGTATTTGGTGATTTTGGTGAAGGAGGAGGAGTTGGCGTCGCTGTTTTTAAATTTTCATTGTGAGCAATAGATCTCGTTGTAGGTGAAGAAGATGACGAAGAAGAAGAAGATGATGATGATGACTTAGGTGTAGGAGGTTTTAAAGATTCAATACTTGATGTAGTTGTACTTATTAGAAGTGACACATCATTTGGCGAAGTGCTCAATGGAGAAGAACTTAATGGAGCAGAATTTTCAATTAAAGTTCTTGAAGTTGATGAATCAGCCGACATTGTGATGGGAATAGGTTCAGTAGAATTATTTGAACTTTGTGCATCATTTTCATTATTATTTGAGGCGTTATTTGAGGTGGTGTTGTCGGATGTGGCATTATTATTGTTGCTGCTGTTGCCAGTAGTGTTACTTGTCAGGATACTAGTCCTACGACGAATACCAACAGATTGAGACCACCTTCGAAAAGCTGACGTAGAAGATTGTGCAGTACTAGAATTGTTTATCGTTGAAGAAGATGTAGACTCTACAGGGTCTTTATTATTTAGATTCTCATCATTAGATTCCTTTACGATCTCTTTTGTGTTGGTAGATGTAGAAGAATCATCTTCAGTACGTTGTTTAATAAAATTTTTTGAAGCTGAAGCTATAGAACGAAACCTCGAAGTATTTTTTAATAAATTAGGGTCAGATAGAGATTCATGTAGTGCAGACAGCCTTTTATTTATTCTTGTTGCTCTTGATGTCCAAGTATTATTGTTTTCTGTGATGGGTTCAGCCTTTGCAACCGTAACAGTAGCGGTAGCGGTAGTGGTAATGGTAGTGGTAATGGAAGGCTTTACCATATTAGCAGTGGCTTCCACTTTATTAAGTTCTCCTTTGATAGAATCTGATTTTGTTGATTCTAATTTTCCAGGAGCAGAGTGAATGCTTGGAGGTGAATCTTCCTTTTTCGATGATGGAAAAATATCTGCTGTGACACTTTCTACCTCATCTTCTTCGGCTTTAGGTAACACCTTTTCAGTATCTATAGGCTGTGATGGTGAATCCGTTTTTTGTTGTTGTTTTTGCTGCTGTTGCTGTTGCTGTTGTTGCGGCATGCCCGCTTGTTGTTGAAGCTGTTCAACATCACCCTCATAAATTCCACCCATACCAAAACTATTGAAGAAAGGACTATCATCCATATTAGGTAAAACCAAAGAGTCCATAATCATTTCATGAATTTTTGATTCGATAGTATTAATAATGAGAGAAAATTTTAATTGAGTTTCAGATACGATAGGTTCAATTAAGAGATCTAATTTTGGCATCTCATAAAATCCCATCCAAAGTCTATTAGTAGGGGGGGATTTTATACGCAATAACATCTTCCCTTGTAGACCTCGAAGCACCACGGCCAAAACTAAAGGTACTTTAATGGTTTTTAATCTCGTTTCTATAATCGCTTCGGTTTCAATTTCAACGCGAAAGCCTCCAGTATAATTTAAATTTATATCTACATTTAATTCACCATTTTGAGATAAATCAACTAATCTCGGGTTCGTTATATATGGAATACCATCTCCTACATCCACCGACCTTATTTGTATGTCAGATAAAAATCCAGGTTTTTTCACTTTTTTTATTTTTCTTATCAATTTACGTATAAAGTAATCTTTGATCGCTTGCGTTTTATATACCGATAAGAATATCCTACCAAATATCGCATTTAACCATTGAGTTTGCTTATGATCTTCGTTTGAATAAAGTGTCTTCAATAAATGATTCATCGCGAAAGGATCAAATAATGATTTATCTCTATTATTTTGTTTACCATTAGAATTATTATTAACGTTTTGTTGTGAAATATTATTAATTAGAACGGATGCGTTTGATTCTAACTTTGAAGATCTCTGTAACGCAAAGTACCAATCTTCTTTTTCAACTCCAACATCACAAAATAAATAATAATCGGTATTACTTTTCTCTAAATTTAAGGCCATATCCGCACAAACAGATGGTTTTTTTGTTAACCTTATAGAATTAACTTTAGTATATATTTCATTATCTGGTAATTGTTCTGGAAATATTGTTACATCATGATTTGACACTATTATAATTCCTTTACAATCTAATTGTCTTTCACTATCATACACGAATAATGTATTGTATTTTAATACCGCAAAGAATGCGTCTTTTGTTCGTTTAATTTGATTTTTATTACTATTACTTGGATCTATTAATGATGCTATTCCTTTCACCATATTACCAAGCGTGTTTACCCCGTTATTAGAATTAATTAGATCATATTCTCTTGATACCCTTAACCATCCAAATTTGTGATAAGGCGAATCATCGTGAGAGTCACTATTGGCGTTGATGGAAGTAAGCTTGTGAAGATCTTTTGGTGATATGTCATCAAATTTTATCGTCTCATTCTTTTGTAATTTCCAAGTCCAAGGTGGAAAGATTATTATAAGTATTATTGCTCCTAAAAATGGGAAGAACGTAAGTCCTCCAAATACGTATATTAATGCAAAACTTCCTAGTGACATTGTGATTGTAACTAGGAAAACGATCAATATTGAACGAAATCGCTATGAAAAACGAACGACTGCAATTTGTGATGCGGTAGTATACTTTCCACTTTTTTTTTAAAAAAAAAAAAGGAAAAAAAAGGGAAGGCGAGAAGAACGAGAGCCTGAATTAAATAGAATAATCAAGAGATATAAAGTTAAGTAAAAACCAAATTTTCGAAAAAAAAAGGGTTAATTGAAATAATTTGGATCAAAAAAGAAAAAAATGTATCTTTTAGGAGTAACGGAAAATTTCTGTTTGTTGGTGATCCCTAAGAAAATACCTGTAATCTTGTACTACAGAAATAAGTTCACATAGCCCCATTCACTCCGCAATTTATTTTTAGCATGTGATATCTAAAAAATCATTTTTAAATATTATGGTGTGATTTACTTGACAACAAACCGGAATTATACAAGTTTTTCAAGGTATATTTCGGTATTATAATAATCAAAATTTTCCGATTAAATAAACAGTTTTAGTATAACCAAATTTTTTTAAAGTTAGGTAAACTTTTTTAGATCTGAAGTTTGCGATTATGCGTTTTTCAATTTCATTATGTTTGATACTAGTATTTTTAAGGTATTTTACCTTTTGAAACGTATTTCCTTTTTCTCTTTTCTATCAATATTAATTCAGATTGAATTGTTATTTATAATAGTTTATTTGCTATACCATCGATCTGTATAGAAACTTACAAGATCGAAGGAAGATTGGTTCCTAGTTTTGCATTAAAAGGCAACTATTATTTGCGCGTTCTTTTTTTTTTTTATACAAAAAAATTGTTTAATAACTTTTTTAAACTTATCGAAAATAGATTTATCACAACTTGAACCAACGACAAAGATTGTATTGGATGGTGGAAAATATTCCACTTTAATTCGCAAAAATGGAAAATTTGTAATGTACTACATACATAAACAGTTTATTTGCGATTCGGATTCTTTTTTCTCGTCATGACCAAAGAAACGAAAGGAAAAGAAAACTAATGATTTGATTTTACTTTCCAGAGATAACGTGCCACCAGGATCTTATTTGTTAGAAGTTACTTCAAGAAAGTTCATATATCCGAAGGTATTTTTTTTTTGAGATGTTACATCAACTTATTGAGAGAATACTGAACAAATTCCTCATTAGATAAGAATTGATGTTGATCCAAGAGGTGTTAGACCTTTTGTAACAATAACGGGAAGTGAATGGAGTTATAATGGTCCTGCTTTACAGTATCCATTAGAATTATCCGCTAGATCCACTGCAGACTATTTTCTAGTAAGTTTTACATTAATCTAATTTAAAATTATAAATATTCAATTTGTTCATAAATATATTTAATAGGCTAGGGAAGGATTTAGTATTACAAGTTTATTTGCAAATCCATATATAATTATGATGGGCTTCAGTGTAGTAATATTATTCATCATGCCAAAAATGATGGCAAACTTAGGTAAGCTACGCCAATTGTAGTCCATCTTTACTACTTTTAACATAAACAGCAAAAGGGATATTTTTCATCATGTCTCTCTTGTAGATCAAGACGCCTTAAAAGAACTTCAAGAAAATCAAGCGCAAAATCCATTGGCTGAAATGCCCGATATTTCTACTACATTAGCAAATTATTTATCAGGTGGTAATAACAATAACAATAATAATGCTAATACCGAAAGAAATAGAAGAAATTAAATTTTATGCATCCGTTCTCCCTAAAAATTCTAACCCAAACTTTAATCTTTTGATGACAAATTCATCGTCATAAATTATGATAGCTCGTTTTTTTATATCACTTGATATAACAGATTTCCTTGTTGGGATGGTCATGTTACCTCGTTATTCCTGATGACATTTGATTATGTCACACTGTCACGCATATATTTAATAAAATGATCAATGGTATATTAAAAAAAAAAAAGTGTAACAAAATCAAATAAATGTGATAATTCTATTTTTGGATAATCTTTACAAAATCGGATTAGCTTTTTTATTCATCAAAAACATGATGACTGACATTCTTAGAACTTAATTAGGATTTTTTTTTAAAAAAAAAAAAATTTTTGATATTTTATGGCTTAATTCCGAACTTGCGGAGTTTTTTCTTTGTTCTAAACATTGTAATGAGTTGCCAACATTTAAATTCTAAACCCATAATACATGCACTGTACCTACCTATAAATGCAGAAAAAAAACCTCTCGCATCCAAAATTAGTAATCAATAAAACAATGAATGTACACATTCTTATATGTCAAAATTATAATGAAATTACAATAATGAATTCGGTTTTACCCGCGTATTTCAAACAACACATTATTACTATATCAATCGATAACTTTTATTAATAATCTTAATCTTATTATCAATAATTATTTCCATTTGTGGTGTTTCAGTACATGATTCTGTACATATTCCATAATTCTGACCACATGTGGATGGTTGCAATGTGAATGTGAAGAATCATTCAACTCAGATATTAAGAAATTAACCAAAATAGGATTTCACCTACCGAAAAAAAAAAATATGAAAATTTTAATACTTAGTGAAATCCGCTGTAAATGTTTTTGGTTAATTTTGACCGAAACCATCGGAAAAATTTTAGCCAATAAATACAAATATCTATTTATTCATATTATAATTTAATAATTCAATTGTATATATTGTCAATATAAATGTTTATCTTTAATATTATCTAAAAATTTATTCTTTAGAATAATAATAGATCATTATATAAATTTTTTTTTAACAAAATATGATTTAAATACTCATTTAAAATGATAATAAATTGAATTAAACTTCAATCCTTTATTTAAAATAATAATTAATTATGCTTTTTAAACAATTTATAATAATTTAATTATGTAATTATAAATTAAAGTAATATAACAATTTAATTTGCTACATTATATTTGCTAATTGCATCATTCTATCAGAATAATTATTATTTTATTTATTTTATTATTATTAAAAAACAATTCTTTTTAAAATACTTTATTATCTATCATTTCTAAAATTCAATTTTTTATTATTTTAAACAATGATATATTATCATTCTAGATTAATAATTTATTATTTTTAAAAAATAATTCTTTTTATAATTTTTTTAAAATAATAATAATATTATTATTTTTTTAATTTATTACTTTTATATTGAATTTTATATTAAATTTAAATTTAAATTAAATTAAAATGTTTCAATTGTTAATTCAAATTAATTTAAACTTGATTTTTTAAATTAACTTGATTAAATTAACTTATTTAAAATTTTAAATTAAAAATAATAATATAAAAAAAATAATTAAAAATAAAAAACTTTTAATTTAATAATTATATAAATCAAAGAATTATTAAATATTCAAAGCTATTAATAACAAATAATTTAAAATTATATAAATTCTCCTATATAATAAGAATTATTTTTAAATATTTAATTAATTTTATATCAATTAATAATATTATCATAAATCTTTAATTAATAATAAAAAAATAATAATATTTAAAATAATAATTTAATAAATTTATAATTTTTTAAAATAAAATAAGATTGATAATTCTATTAAATTCTAACTTGAAATTTATATAAATTTGTATATATTTATATATATTATAAAATATATAAATATAGATTAGTTATTTATAAATAATAGAATTTTATTATATAAATTTTATTTATTTTAAAATTATTAATTATTTAATATTTAATTTCATTCTTAAATTTAAGTTTAAAATTATAAATTTTATATATGTTAAATTAAAATAATATTAATTTTACATTAATTTATAAGATATTAATTATATTAACTTTTATAAATTATTATACTATTCTATATTTTAATTTTAAATTTTAGATAAATTTTAAATAAAAAAAAATTTATTTTTAAAAATCATAATATAAGATTTTTTTCTATGAATTTATGTAAATAAAAGATTGTATATATATTTAAAAAATAGATTGGTACTCAATAGGATAAAATGATCGGTAAGCTATAATTAATTTTACAGGTTTCATTATTAATAAATATAAATTTTTTGAAATTTTGTGTTTTTTATTATACAAACTTATTTAATGAGCAAAAAAAGTATACAGTAACTCTTTTGGCTAAAGAAATAATTTCAGATAACTTACATTATGGAATATATGTACAAAATTAGTAAGAAGTAGGTAAATTTGATCAAACTAGTATTAATCCAGTACCTTATTGATTATTTATATTTGTTAATTGTTGTTTTAATGATAAAACTTTACAATAATAGTTTTTAATGATGAAAAAACACAAAATTCATATTTCTATTATCTTTATAATGGTAAAGATTCTGGAATTCAACCATCAGCTTCTGCAGCTATTAACGACATATATGACTAAATTTTGGTAATAAAACAAAATATTTAGAATTAGCTATTATAAAATTTGACAATAAAACAATTGTTTATGAGTTAATAGCTAATATTTTATTTATTTTAATATTTATTCATTTAGATAAAATATTAATTGTGATCAGTCAAATTGGTATTTCATTTCATAAAGGATATTATAGTACTGATTTAAGATATCTTTCTATACTTATAACAAAATATGCAAATAAACAATCACTTTTTGTATAATCCATAGAAAATGAATGTAGTTTAGAATTTATCCCTTAAACTGTAGAGATTTGCAGGCAAATTTGCCTGTTTATTTACTATAAATTCTCTTCTGATTTACTTTTATGAAAAATTAAAATTTTTAAAAATTTTTTTTTTTAAATTAATTTTATAAAT